TGAGGTACTCAGTAAAATACTTCACTGATGATTTAACTGCCCCAGTGCCACCCCCCAAAAAGTAACGACAAAAATCAAGCAGCTCTACATGCACATACAGCTACGACATGCAAAAAAACACCCCACCTTTTAAGGACCAAAATACACAAACATGTGGCTAGCAAGAATCTTCTCCAGCCTCTGTCTCCTGGAAGCTAATGCTGGGAAGCCTCAGAACGAGAGGAGGGGAAGAGGAAAAAATACAATATCCAAATCCAGGGGTAGAGGCTGTTGCCTCAGAAAGTTATTTCCCGATTACATCGAGTTCATGCCTGGCTATCTGGGAGCCTTCACCCTGAAAAACAGCGGGGTCAGAGATTTCCACTCCAGACTTCCTTTCCCCTCTCTCCCCATTCAATTTAAGGCACAAACATATTTACAGTTTCAAACAAAACCTTTTCAACGTTCCAAGAATCAGACATTAGAAGGCCTGAACGTTCTGCTGTACCAGGAAGGTCTGGACGTAAATCGGCCATCTGGCGTTGAACAAGGACACCCCTCAACCCCACCTTCAGTCCTGAAGAAAACAGAGGAGACTAAGCCTATCACACAACTTCTGTTATTTTGAGGTTACTTAATTGTAGAAGAATTGATAAATGGCGACGATTGTGACCAAACTTTAAACATCAGCTTCCCCACCTTGCCCCAGCAGTGCAAACTGGTTGAGCACTGTTACTCTGAAGAGCAGTCAGGTCTTAGAGGCTTGCCCCAGGCTGTACACAGAACACAAGAGAGCATGCAGCATGTCTACATAGACGCAGCTTTCTTCCCTCCCCCCCTCCCCAATTCAACACACACAAAACCCCTCCACCAAGGAGAATATTGTTGTGACGAGGCACTTGAACAATAATTGGAGAGTCCCTATGAAAAGGCCTTCCCCTCACAGTGAAGTGGGACAAACAGAAGAGAGCAGTTTCTCAGGACTCCATCTCCTCTTGGTCAAGCGGTGGTGGCACAAAGCTGATGACTTCATCGTAAGTCAGGCCTGGCGGGGAAAGCGTGACAGAAACTTAACAGGCAGTACTAAAGACATCCCTCGTGCAAAAAAAATGGCAACGACCTTAAAGGTTCTAACAGTATTTTAAATGAAAACATGGTTTAATTAAGAAGAGACGAATGGTTACACCATTCTCGGAGACTAACTACATAATAAAAGATACTCACATCTCCTCAAGGCTCTGGAAGTAAGTTTGAAAACAAAGACATGAGCAACTGTGTCGCCTACATGTTTGTATGCTCAGAGTAGTAATTCGTTACCAGGGATTATGCTAACTATGTGCACAGGCCATGATAGATTCATTCAGTGTAAGGACCTCGAACGGACAGGATGCCCACATTTTTAATCGGTTTCTTTCCTGTCTCTACCACAGCTTAGCAGAACTGCAGCTGTGGAAGGGACCACAAGGGAAGCAGGCTGGCTCTCTCCCGGCCCCCGAACTCACTTTTCCATTCTTCAATCTCAAGTTCTCTGCTTTCAAAAGACTGGTCATAGGGGTCTGCCACCGGTTCATCGTCTGGGTCGTGATACTGAGCAAAGTAGGCATGAGCCAGCGCTTCTGCTGCAGTAATTCGTTTGTCTGTATCCAGTACCAACATCTTCTCTAGCAAGTCCACAGCTGCGAAAGCACCGGAACAGCAAAAGAAAGGATTTTTTACATAGTGAGCTGTTTGACACTGTACTCTGAAACATAAACTCTGAAAAGTATATAAGGAATCTGTAGTTTCTCAGGACCCACCCCACCATCCACAATTTCTTCCTCTTATACCCACACATACTTGGTCAACTTTGAAAACAGTACGTAGCTCTGTTCCGAACTCCTTCTGCAGTCAAAACAAGACCTTGGGAAAGCCGTGGCATCCCAGGCCGTGCTAGCTTCAGGAAGAGCACAACCTTTAAAAAGCAAGCCTTACCTAGTGGATTGGCACCAATAAACACATTTTCAAAGTTCATTTTCGGCATGTAAGACAGAGACTGAATGTAGTTTCTTGCCTGTGGAAATAAATGCTCTGTTGAAGTATAATACAGTCCAGCCACCAAGACAAAGTACACTTCAGTCATCCTGAAGCACCGGTTATGGCCCGTCTCCTCGCTTTGCCTTCTCTTCACTTATTCTGATACTTACTCAGCCCATCATTGCTATCCCTTCCCAACTAAAGGCCACTCAAGACAGCAGAGGAAGAGCTGACATTACTTGGGGTTCATGCAAGACTGAAAAGCAAAGAGGTGCTGCGAGAGCTGACTGCCTTGGAGCCCCGGTAAGGCTGCGTGCAGTGCGCTGTCTGCTGGTAAGCCACACAGCATGGCACACACTGCAAAACCAACTCACATCCAGGCTCTCCTGAGTCTCAGAACTCTGTGGCTGAGTACGCACTGTCCAAATTTCAAGTCTTCATTCAAAAACCTTGCTGAAGAGCAGGTATTTAACTGCCCACCCCATGCCACATGCGAGCGTATCGTTTATAGAAGCAGCGAACACTGCAAGTGAAGACCTGCCCTGCAAACCCCCCCACCTGCTCAGGTCTCACCTCATGGCTGGGCATCCTGTTAATGAGATATGCAGGGGGTGTTCCCGTCAGACGCATGATCTGCTGAAGCTGGTTAATATCTTAAGTGCCTAGTCAAGGGCTTTGTTAAAAACAGTGCAAAAACCATTTCAAACAGAAAACAGCTGCATACAAAGCATCTCTTCTGCAAACCACAAGGCAAAAGCCGTTCAGGCAGGGTTCACTAATTCTTTCAAATACTTGTGAAAATTTCAGCAATTGCACTAGTGAACACTTAAAACAACGGAGAATTACTGCTCAGTTGGTAACAGGGTCAGTACAGAAAGTATTTCTGTCCGCCATAAGTAGCATTCCACTACAACTCAGTTGCGTTCACATTTCCCAACAGTTTTGAGCCACCAGATAGAAGTTTCCTTTGGCTGAAGCTACTCCTCAAAAATTTTCCTAGGCTGCTACAGCTACAAGCAGCCTCAGGAAAACGAAGAAAAATTAAAACAGAAACAAAAATTGTATCCTCTGCACTGGTTACCAGCTTTTTTCCTTGCTGCATAGAAAGTACTTAAGTTCCTTGTGGTGCAAAGTGAAATCAGCTCACAACCAACACCTCCTTCTAAACAGCTTTGAATGCACTTCGGTGTGTGGGCGAGGTGACAGAAGGCAATAAATGCAAAATTAGCAAAACATTAGCATTGCATAACACAGAGTTAGCTGATGTCAGTGAACAGAGAAAGTAAGAGCAAGTAAAGTAATGCAGCAGTAAAACAGAATTTGTTACAGTGACACACTAAGGGCCCTCCAGCACTTAATAGTTTTGCTATCTCCGTACAACGGAAAAAATAGTAGAAACAGTACTTTGCCGCATGTTTTTTTTTTAACAGACTTGATTTGAACCTGGCTAAGAGCAATTACTCTTTCTTTTTTTTTGACGTTGCACAATAAAAAAAGACCCCCTTCAATCTACGTATGCAAACTAATCCTTTGCTTAACCTCGTTAACCTTTAAGCTTATCTCTCTTGCTAACCCCCCCATACTTCAAATACCAGACCACACTTTGTCAGGTCCCAAAGGTCAGTTCACAGGGTACCCAAACCAGCCTGCCTTATTCGGATCTACCTTTCCAAGGGCGTTCTAAATTCGTGTGATACGCAGCAAGTTGACCGACTGATTCTGACTTGCACTGCGTGTCTACTTTCATCAAGTGTCATTCAAGGCTAACCTCACATTTCACATTTGCCATGACTGTTGCATGAAAAAGAACATAAGGTGCAACACAAAATGATCTTATCATCACTCTCCACCGCGCTGATCCTCTAGTACGTATCAGAAACAGCAGAGTAACTTGCTAAAATATGCTGCTAGTTACCTCTACGCAAGCTTGTTGCTCGCTATGCATTAACCTTTTAATCTGTACTGTTATGGCATCTCTTGCTTTAACTTTTGTGCACTTTACTTTCAGAAAAAGGTAAAATCAAACGCCATTTAATACCAGTTTTGCAGGCGTTCACAATTCAAGATTAGAACAATACAGAAATGGCAGTATGGCTGAAAATAGAGGTCACCCTTTAAAAAGGAGACTGCAGAAAGCCTTTGGTGATTACCTTGATAAAAGGGCCCCATACAGCAATAACCTTTAAATACACGGCATAACTAGTTATATTCTCAGCAGACAATATACTGTGTGCCCTGGAAACAGCTGCCACATAAAAGCACCTAGAAGGCATTTTGGATTTTGTGCTACAAAAACAAAGACAGTGGCAGCAGTGTTTCAGAAATCAATCATACTACAGAAGCGACTGTGTGTGTTTAGAGGGTAACACACTTGCTCCTGTTAGGAAAGATCTTTGGGGAGACAATCTGGAGAAACAATAATTGAGATGAGCCCCAAGCTCTTAGCTGTGAAAAATACTTCCCCAGCAGCATCTGATCATATAATATATCACGAAGTATAAACCCACAAACTGAAAGAAAAGTCACGAAGCAGTAAAATGAGAATACAGAAGCAAGAAATCATACCACAAGCAGGGGTAAGAGGAATAAAGATCAGACACACACAGCACATGAATGCAAAGGCATCCAAGAGCGAAGAATGACAAAGGAAGAAAAGTAACAGAAAATAAATCCCAACACATACTATAGATAGACTACAGGAGGGCAACACACAAACTTGAGACTTCCAAAAGGGCATATATTACAATCAAAGTGTAAACTCACAGACTCTGAGGAGATTTTCTTCAAAAGCTCAGGCCCTGGGGTTCCAACGAGTCTCAAAATGAGCTTCAACTGATCAATATCTAATGATGGACCATAAAGGAAAATGCTGGGACAAATCAAAATGAAAAACGCAACATATCAGCCTATTAACGTTGAGAGTTAATGCCTGCCAAGGCCTCAACTGAAAAGCTACTTTAAGCAAACTGTATTAATTCCTCTCATTTACAGTTGAACACCCCCGTGTAACACAGCTCTGTCTGCATCAAACAGATGGAACAACTTGTCTACAAATACACCACATGCATTGAATTGGTCACTGCATCCTTAACTAGCGTGGAGCAGAAGTCCAAGCTTTCACCCCACTGGCCAAGGATCAGTTTACATGCTCACTTCACCCTTTCAGACCCCACACCAAAGTAGAAGCAGTTAGCAGGATTAGGTTGCGTCAGTGACAGATGAAGTAAAGCAGAAGGTTGAAAAGTGTAGGCACTAAAATTAAAAAAAAAAAGTCAAGGCCTTCTGTGAACACCTTCCGAGGTAATTCAGCCACTTCTAAAACTTAGAAAGTAAGAAAATGACTGAACCCCGCTCGTGACCTACAGCATCCCTCCACCTGAAGAGGGGGTGCTCCCGGTGCAGGCGGGGTGCTGCAGGCGGCAGAGGGTGCTCGCTCCCGGACCAGCAGGGCAAGAGGCCACAGCACCTGGATCCCTCTTCTGCCCAGCGGCAGAGAGAAACAGAGTATGGGCTCAGATTTAAAAACTCCATGTAGAAAGCTCCCGGGACATAACATTGCAGATGCAAAGAATGTTTTATCCAGAACAGAGCTTCCAGCAGGCCACATACCAATCTGAGCTGTTCTCTTTAACAAGGCAGAAAAATTAAATATTTGGTGTAAGTGACAAAACACACACTTGAGGGAAAAAAATCCACTAGAGACACAGTTTTATGTCTAAAACTTAAGATACTAAGGAGACACAAGGTATATATTTAAAACCATTAAAAGAATAATCTCCCTTCTTCTCTGAATTATCCTCCATGCTGCCCTTCAAAACCTACTAGTGATTTCAGACTGTGCCTGTACTGTTTATATTTGCCCTTAAAATGCTATCAAACTAGTTACCCATTTTCCTTTCAATAAACCTAGTCTACACCCTAGACAACGTTTTTTCAGGGATCAATGTCTTCCTGATCTTTTAAGATACAGTTACAATGCCTTGTGAGAATATCTTTTAATTTGAGTACTACAAGAACTTCAAAATCTGTCTCCCGCTTTTTTAAAAAGCCTCAGCGTTTCTGTAATACTGGCAAATCGTATATGAAGGAAATCACCAATACCTTTATCTTTTCATGTAAACTTTGGTCTAAAGTTTAACATATGAAATTAATTAGAAGCTCTGGAAATAGTACTTTGTCAGAACAGCTGAACTAATTTCTCACTTCTCAAGTTGCTTGGCCAACTTCCACCTACTTAAACACTTGAAATGTAAGAATGAATCCAATGTATCTAGCTGGATTTAGCGTAGCTGCTGAATTGCCAACTCTTAATTGTCAATGCTTAAAATGAAATCAGTATACGTACTGGTGTAGGAGAATTAGCAGAGGGTGCTACACTAACCACAATTAGTTCACTTAAAATTGGCTTTTTTTCAGTGCCATTTAAAACAGTCCTTACATCTTTCACTCACTCTTGCGCAAGAATGAGCTGTGCAAATTTCGGAATGCTAATGTGCCATACCTCAGTTTAAGTATCTCCATTTACCAAAATAAAGATATTTAACATCATGTGCACCAGGTGTGCCAACAATATTGCTGCCCAGTTTGCTGTCAGCTCTTCTCCCGGGAAAAACTGCTATTGGAAAATTCTTGGGTAATATGCTTCAGTGACTTGTCAGATAAAACGAGAGAAAACACGGAATGCATAACCAGCACTGCCACAGGCATGCCAAAACCCATCCCCTGCTTCTAGTTTAAGGCCTGCCATCTACAACCTCCTGA